ACATAGACCAGGTCAGTAGAAACTGAACATTATTACCTCCTAACATCTGTTTAGTGGCCTTTGAGAAATGAGATTGTGGCTACAATCCATGTTCTGGACAGCTGTCTTCCTCAAGAGAGGCATCTCTACAATTGGCATTGATTAGTTTTCTTGTGGCAGCCTCCACAGTTAATTCATTGAGCCTTTCCCTTTTACTACCTACCATGTTATTTTTATATGCGTAGTAACTGATCATCTGTGATTCTATGTGTAAAAAGACATGAAGACAGAGGTCAACGCTGGGGATTCCTCCTCAGGTGCCACCCACCTTGTTTCCTTCTTTTTTAAGAGAGAAACCTAGGTTCACCAGTCAGGCTAGACTATATTTGAGCCTGAGGGATCCACATGTCTTCAGCTGCCCAACACTGGGGTTATAGCATATGAGGACTTTTTTATGTGGGTTCTGGGGACCCACAATGGTGCTCATGCCTGCACAGAAAGTACTTTACCCACTGTCCGGTTGTGTGTGTGTGTGTGTGTGTGTGTGTGTGTGTGTGAAACTGACACAAAGCAGGAAGAGGAACCTCAATTGAGAAAATACTTCCATCGCATTGGCCTGTAGGCAAGTCTATAGGGAATTTTCTTAAGAAGTGATGGGAGTGAGTCCACTGTGGACATGCTACCCTAGGGCAAGTGGTCCTGGGTTGTATAAGGAACTGAACAAATGGGAGGGAGTACTGTGGTTATAATATAAAATGAAATTAAACAAAAAGAGAAAGGAAAAAGAAACTTAATCAGTCATGGGGGACAAGGAGGTAAAAGCATTCCTTTGCTTCAGTTCCAGCCTCTAGGTTCCTACCCTGAATTCCTGCCTTGACTCCCCTCAGTAATGAACTGTTAATTCGAAGTTTAAAATGAAATAAACCCTTAACTCCCAAGTTGCTTTCAGTCATGGTATTTTATCATAGCAATAGCAACCTAAGACAACTATTTCCTCAAATTCCTTTACTACCACTTTTACCTTCCCTTCCCTCTTCATTCTCTTTTTTCCTTCTTTCCCTTGTTCTGCTTGAGGTAGGTGTCCTTTAAGAATGAGCAGCCTCAGTTCCTGGGGGAAGAATGCATTAACACTTCCCATGTGCCAACCCTTGCCAAGGATGGAGGGAAAGGCTATAGGGAGAGCATTTCTCACCTTCCGAAGTGCTGTCTGCCCCACCTCAGTTGAGTTGTTTTGTTTAAGGTGTGTCAGAGTTGACTCTGGGGTGGTGTATTTTGTCCAATGAGCTGCACATTTCATCATTGGTTGGAAGGGATGGGCCCATGGAGAATTTAGAAGGAATCAGATTTGTGATAGACACCTTGCATCATGGCTCCCTGTCAGGCACAACCAGAACTGGAGACAGGAAGTTGTGCATTTTGTGATGTTGTTTTCTGATTAGAACACAACATTTAATGAAGTAAGTCAGAGAGCGCTATTTGCAAGGCTTAGTCAGCACATTTGTCTTTTGGATTAATAATTGTTGCATTTATCCTACAAACTTTTAATAAAGACAAAATCTTACGTTTACTACGCTTTTGACAAATCATATGAATGAGGCTGACTAAAATGCTTGAAACCAAGGTTGCTTGTGTGCCTGTGGCATGAAATACCACTGTGGCAAAATCCTTTGGATATTTGCTCCCTTTTTTCAGATGAGAATGAAGGAAAGAGTATGTGACAGCTGCCATGCTCCAAATTATCAAACCACCGAACTTCATTTCTTAATCACAATTGAAGAGCCAAGAAGCAAGCAGACTAAAGAAATACTCATAGTTTGTTTATTTTTTTTTTTACAACCAAAGGGAGTCAATGGCAGGATCCGATACACTCTTACTATGAAAAGAGGAGGTGCATTTTAAGCAACTTTATAATGGTTTGTGCTCTTTAAAAATACCTAGAGTATTTTTCCCTGGGCTATGTCTTTGGAAATGAAAACATACAAGATTGTATGGGGAAATTCAACTACTATGCCCTCTGTTAGTTTTCATTGACTTCATTAGGATATTAACTGCTCAGGACTGCTCAGGAACAGTTTCATGACCAGAAGATATCCAAACCTTTTCAATGAGATATGAAATCTCAACCAAGGGACTGAGTTGGGGCAATATTAAACAGATGTTGAACTCTAGATATTCATTGCAACTTAGAAGACAAAATTCCTAGTGAACCAACTTCAGCAAGAGTTTTTAATTCTCAGAGTCATGAGCTGCCCAGGAACAAGAAAATAGCTGTTAAGAACAGTGAGGTTTAGGGTTCTGGGAAAATCCCATACCATGTGACTCTCCAACCATATTGACCCACTTCTCATTGTGAAAACCATATGCTGCCATGTCATGATTGTTCTGTGACTTAAAGAGTATAAAGTCACTTGAAGATCAAAAATGTTAAATGTCATAATTTATAACAAGCAACTGGGAACCACATATAGAAAGAAACCTAGCTTTGGGGTTATAACTTCTTCTGAGGTGTTGGACAGATGGGAGAAGATACTCAGTTTTATGATTCATTTACTTAGAAAAAAATCAGTAGAAGTCTGACACATGGTTTTATTAGGTTGGTTATGGGCTGCTACCCATTTTCCAACATTTTAAAATTCCACTCCAATGCTTCTATTCTCAAATTAAGGAAAGGGAAAAAGTGAACAAACAGCACATGGGGGGTATAATTCTGATCTGTAACGTCTTCTATTTTGCACTTTGCATTTGAAGAGGAAGCATTTTCTGACTTCCCACTAACCGTTCTTCTAAAGAGGCCATTTCCAATCATACCTTAGATCTTGAGAATCAATGACAAGGGAAGGAGAATCGGTTTACTTTTCTGTTTCTCAGAAGAGCTCTGTGGAGACTTGAGAGCTTCAGGCTTGGGCAGTGAGTTGAAGCATTATTCCTGGGGGGGGCATACCTCCTGTCCTTGTTGGCCATGGCCTCATCAGGTATTGAAGTGTTCTTGTCTACACTAGTTGAGTTACCACACTCACCTCCATCTCTTTGTCCTTTCTTTCCACCCATAAAGACTTGAGAAGCGCAAGAGAAATAACGGAACACACAAATATTGTATTGTGTGATTGCTAGCCTTTTGCAAACAGTGCTTTCTGGTCCAAGGACAGATGTTCCATTGTTTGTATTAATTTTCCAAACATCTGAAGTCTCCTCTAAAAATTTAGTCCATGGAGTGCATACCCAAACCTCACAACTGGTGACTAAAAGAAAAAGAAAGGAAACTATAATATGGTAGGGAGCCTTTGTCTTTGGGAAGGGCCATCCATGCAAAAGTTACCTCACTTTAGAATTGCAAGGCACCTCTCCTCTGTCTCATGTTGTAAGTGAATGGCGCCCCCTAGTGTAAAGCTAGCTGAGCCCTCTAAATGGCCTAGGTATTCATTCATTCAAACATTCTCCCCGAGTTGAACATGGGCCAATCAAGTTTCTAAAGTGCTGGGGAGATGGAGATGGCATTGTACACACAAGAGCTGTGGGTCACACAGATCTTACCCTTAATTGACTAGTTTTCAAAAGCATCTGGCCAACTGAACCAAATACATCCATATGTGCATTTTAGCCCATGCTTTGTACAAAGACTGACTCTGCTCTGTTTATGCTTTTATGTTCTGTCAAGTATGGAGGGAGAAAAATATAGAAGAGCAACAGACTGACCATCTGTTTGTATCCACTGCTTAACTCATGTTTAATGGGGACTCTGTGCACATAGAAAACTCAGCTAATTAACTTTCAATTTCAATTTCATGCCCCCACCCAAGTGTCTATAATTGCCTCTACTTCTCTCATGAAAAAGTCCTTCCCGAGATGATCTGTTAGGCAAGAGAGGAAGGAAAAATAGAAGGGGGTGATAAGCTGCTGCCACACTGGACCTGTCTATATAACTGTCCTGGAGACTAAAAAGCAAGGAAGTCATTGAGGTTCAAGGGGCACCTGGTGCCAATTGTTGGTTTGTTCCTAACCACCTATAGACTTATTTATTTTCCCTAAATCTCCAGGTCTCTTAGAAGAAGTGATGAATTTAAGGGACTCTCATTCATAATAGATTTCTTAGCCTCATGGCATCTAAATTCCAGTGAATGGAAAGTTTGTTTTATCAGTGTTGAAGGAAAATGACACTAAAAGATTTGATCACTCAGTTCCTTTTGTACCTGGAAGGTTGTTAGTGTTATTAATTAATAATGAGTTGAAGCTTCATTTAAACCAGAAATAACACTTGTATTGGGTTTGGGAATAGGCTTTAAATATTGTGATGGCCTCAAATAGTTTACAATTTTCCCAACTCAAAACTCACTTTACATTCCCTTGGATAAGAACATTACTTAAATGTGTGTGTGTGTGTGTGTGTGTGTGTGTGTGTGTGTGTATTCACAGGACTCAGGACCCGAATCTGGTGGAAATAAAAAGTCATGATGCATGATATAAAGGTGTAAAGCTCATATAGAAGCATTAATATCACACAAACACACACACTATATATATACATACACACACACGTGCGCATGCGCACACACACACTATATATATATATATATACATACACATACATATAAATATATCAAAAACCATGTATGTTCACTATTTCCCCTTTTCTACCTGCCTTCCAGGAGTCTTTATTGCCAAAACTCCTGACAAATTAATAAAAATGGTAATCAGAAGAAAGTGTTAACATATTAATCTACAAATTACTTTTCTTCAAGTTTGGAGACATTTCCTGAAAGCAGCCAAAGGTGACTTTTCCTCCCTTTCTCTTCCTTTAAATCATTACAAAGCAAAATCCCCCTTTCTTCCCCCACCCCCACCCCTGCTTTAAAAAAAAAAGTTGTGGAGTTTTGCTTTTCTGTTCACTGCACTCCTGGCCAAAGTAAAGCCCTCTTTCTCAATGACGTCAAGATCTTTAGCAAGATTAGGCTTTCATTTCTCTATTGCAGCAATTAGCCAGGGAATGTATAAAAGGCTTCAGGAAGACTCACTGGGCTGCAGAGAGAAGCACTCTGCTGCACAGGCAGAAGATAGCAGAGAGGAAAAGCCAGAGGGAGGGGGCAGAGGGCTCAGCCGCTCCTGGAGAACCTGGAGAAAGGACAGACAGAGACAGGCGGGGAGGAGGAGAAGAGAAAGTATGTTTAACACGGAGTAAAGACAGACAGACAGAAAGAAAGAAAAAAACAAACAAACCCTGCCCTTACAGCGCAGTTAAGAAACTGGCAGTGCAAGAAGAAGTCAGACTGCGCTTAAAGGGACATGAAAAGCTAAAAGAAATTTTTACCATCTCTGCAGTCTGTAGGTGTCTGGAAATGAAAGTAGAGCTTCCTGTCTTTAACGGACTCTGACAGGGGTAACTGGATTAGAGACTGGTACGCCAGTTTTTTTCTTTTCTTTTCCTTCTTTTTTTCTTTCTTTCCTTCTTTCTTTCTTTCTTTTGTTTTGTTTTGTTTTAACCATCTTAAATCCTGAAAAAAAATGCATCTCGGAAATGAATGAATTGATGGGCACACTCCAACTGCTGGACTGCAGAGAGCGAACTTAGTCTTGCCATTTCTGTTTCTTTCAAAGAAGAGACAACTTGGGCTTCCTTCTAATTTAGTTTTTCTCCTTTTCCCCCACCCCCACTCCCAACCTCCCCCCACCCCGGTCCCCCACCTCCTCTACCACCACCTTCTTTTTCAAAAAGAGGTCAAAGTGGGAAGCAGAGCGCACAGGGACCAGGCTGCAGAGGCAGAGAAGATGGGACTCCTCAGCGTAGACTTGCTGATCACACTGCAGATTCTGCCAGTCTTTTTCTCCAACTGCCTCTTCCTGGCGCTCTATGACTCGGTCATTCTGCTCAAGCACGTGGCGCTGCTGCTCAGCCGCTCCAAGTCCACTCGCGGAGAGTGGCGACGCATGCTGACCTCAGAGGGACTGCGCTGTGTCTGGAAGAGCTTCCTCCTAGATGCCTACAAACAGGTGAGCTGCACCCCACTGGGCTTCTGGGTCAGCAGGACCAAGGGACTAGAAGGTATGGAGCTGCAGGCTATGGGGAGCCCTATCTGGGGTGACCTGCCCAGTGATTATGTTCAAGGGAGTCTCAGTGTCACTTGGGACACCTGTTGCACAGGTTAGATTTGGGAGTGACAGACATTGAACCATTGTGAGTGACTCTGGGTGACTTCAGCAGGAATCTTTAACAAGGGCTGCTGTTACCTTGCTCTTATTTGGCAGTTTGGGATTTTGGCGGTGGTGAAACAACTCTGGATAAATTCAGAATTATCGGAGACTGGAAGCTGCATTTGTTCTGTTCTTGGCATGAGCTGGCTTCTGCTGCTTTGCTTGACAGAAGAGTGTGTGAGACACAGCAGGAAGGCTTGAATGTTTCCTTTCTGCTGAAATGGTCAGAGTTGAATGATAATGATGATGATGATGATGATAGTGGTGGTGATGATGATGACAGTGGCTCTGATAACCTCTAGCCCCTTCATTTCTTGGGGGAGATCAGAGTTAATGAAAGCAAGCCCAGTACAGCCACCTACTTGGTTGGAATTTGTGGATTCCTAGTTATTGTCAGTTTGCAAAAGAAAAATCGAGGAACTGTCAGAAATCCAAACTTTGTATGTGAAACAAAATCTACAAATAAGTTACCTCAGAAAGTGCTGATAGGTCTATGGTGTGTTTGAAGGTGAGGTTCTGGACGTTAGAACAGCCACTTCCCTTACCTGGTGAAGGTGTGATCCCATCTGCATTTGGAAACATCAGAGTGGGCTACTGATGTTTTAAAGCAAAAATTTCTGGTATTCCAGCCTTTCAGCTGCTGGGAGATATTGAGAGAATGGTATCTGTCAGGGCAAAGAGGAATGGTTTTATATGATCCTCCATCCCTTTGCTCCTATCTCATAGGTTCATAGGACTCCTGAAGCATCCTGGATATTAGGAATAATGAATGCATTTGAAAAAGAAGCTTCTACAAAAGGAGGAAATATATCCCTAGGGGTACTGGGAGAGCTTGCTAGAGAAGGGAGCTTGCAATAGTGAATCCAGATGTTCAACCCAGTGGCATTCTTCAGACAGGTGGAATGGTAGACACCATGATGGAAACTCAGAATAGCAATAGTGGAAAAATCAATCCATGTGCCATGAAAATAAATGGAAACCATCCAGGGCAGGGTGTTTCATTGGAAAGGAAATGTTGAGGAAGAAAATGCCTTTTGTGAACAGGCTGTGTGATTCATGACATTATTATTGCAAGTAACCTGAAGAAGATTACTTGCTGTGCTGAGTACATGTCAAATGTCAAGCCCCCTTTTAGCAAGTAGGAATGCACTCATTAGCATAGGAATGGCTGCCTGGAGTCTCCTGTTCAGTTATATCATATATGTAGTGGCAATAAAAGATATGGACATGGAGACACTGAGAAATAATTTCATCCCCACAGAAGTACACACAGAATGTGACATTTTTATGCGTATTTAAGTGTTGGGAGTTTGCATGAGTGGGACATTGCTCCTGTACATTAAAAGATTACTGATTAGTCAATCCCTTCAACTACATCTGTGTGTCATGTCTTAGATAATATGGATGTTAGTGGCTTTATCTCAGTGTATTAAAATCTTACCTTTTGAAAGACAGTGGACTTCTGCTTAGAAAAATTTAAAGGGAATTTTTGAAGGACTTTAGCCACATGCATCTAAATATTAATTTCATATCAATTTTGGAGGCTACAAAAGCACCTACAAACTTTAAGTGAGGTGTTTTTCTCATCAAGAAGATCACTGGGGTGAAAAGGGAAAAAACAAGCACATGCCCCTATAATATACTTCTTTATATCTTTTGTCACTAATATATAGTGTTCCATTATGTTGTAGTATGTTGTTTGTGCTCATGGGAGGTTGGAAAGATGAATGATTTGTTTTTACTTTTGGAATATGGTTTGTGTATTCCACTTATTTTTTCTTTGTCTCTGCCCACTGATTTGATTAGTGACCAAGTTCATGACTTCTGTTATTATGCTTGCTTTTAATGACTTATACAATAGTTACTATGCAAAAGAACCCCCCAAGAAAACACACACCCCAAGACAAGGCTGGGATGAGTGTAAGATAAATGAAAGCATGAAGAGTATAACTTGAGCTACATTCTGTCCTCTTCTGTCTTTGAGTGTGACTGGCTTCGTGGTGGATGTGGCGGCCTCTGCAGCTTACTCAGAACCTCTCAAACAGATTGAATCACTTGCCAACTGCTGTGTCATCTGTGGAACACTGTCTTTAGGCGTGACTGTTTCCATAGATGCCAGAGGAGGTCCTGTCTGGCATTGCGTCTTGGGATTTCACAATCTTGACTTGCATTATTTGCTCCCTTCCACTCCCGAATCACATTTCTCCACATGGCAGTCCATCAGGCAGATCATTCATTACTCCCAACTATCTTGGTTAGCAATTGTGTCTGGGGAGATATCTAGAGGCGCGTATTTATTCACAGAAGTGGTGACACAGGCATGAGCTACATTGAGGAGAGGGAAGACCAGAATGAAGTGCTAAGAGTAAAAACTGATTTAAAATCACCTTTATAAAGAAGTTATCAAAGACCACGCGGGCTTGGTAATGGTCAGGAGGTGTGTGTGCAATTCAGATTGAAAAGGAAATCTAGAAAGTGGAGAAAGTGAGCAAATATCAGACACTTGTTATTTAAGTTTCCTTGGTGTCTTTGCTTGTGAACACTGTACCCTTCTGCTGGTGGTCAGAGACTCAGAAATGCAAGCTTTAAGCAAGCTGTCTCTGCTTGGAGCCTAACTCTTACCTAAATGATGTATAAAAGTAAGCAGATAGTATAGACGCTGATAAGCAGTCTCTTTTTTTTCTGCATGGATAATGTTACAGTTGCACAGAAGACATGCTCATTGCAACATATAATTTTGGTTTTGAAAGAGTCTCTTTAACATTCTCCTCCTTCTCTTTATTCACCTCAAGCCTTTTGACACTGGCTTCTGTGGTGAAAAGTGGCTCTTTAAAGAGAGAAACTGTCCTAAAAGTACACAAAGAAGGCCACAGCCAGAACTTGTCTGTCACTTGGATAAAACATAGCGAAAGGATAGGACTTTGAGCTTCATTTTCAAGATACAAATCAAAAAGAGAATAGCCAAAAAAGGGAACTTAACCCAGAAGATGGAGTAGGTAGGCTGCTCTTCAAGTCTGATTTACTTGGCCCATCTGAATGGGGATGGCTAAAGCTCTGCCTAATGATTGTTTGGCCATGTTTTTTTTAAAGGACATTGTTGTAGCCTGATCATTACATTAAAGAATTGGAAATTTCCTGAGAGTTAAGTTCCAGTACTTTGAATGACAAAAACGTCTGTGTAAATATTGATATGGGCCCATCCCCCATTTTTGTAATTTACTTCACTACTCAGCCTGAGAATAATGTGTGGTGCTTTACTCAAAAACTCCTCGTAGGCTGTGGAAAACAAAACCAGAAACAAACAAAACAAAAACAAACAAAAATCAAGGTTAGCAGTTATATACAGTATTTCCACATCACCCAGTGAATGGTTCCATATTCCCTTGAGTTTGTATCTTGCAGCATTATCCTCTATTCTGTAAGTACTCAACACTGTGCTGAAAAGGAACCCATCATCAAGGGAGTCAAATTCTTATATACCCTATGCATCTGTGCTTTTGTTCACACTTATAAACGTCTGTTATCACCTTTGAACTTGGCCCAGAGATGTCATCAGCAGTAAACTTGCAAAAGCCTCACCCACTCCCTGAGTGGATATTGTATCCTTGCCCACTGAAGAAAATATACGAAAGAATGACTGCAATAGTGCAGATGAGAGCGACAAAGGTCAGTAGTGACGCTATCACATTTTACGTGTGTCCTTTCTGATTCTTGCAAAATAAAGAGACCCTTTGGGAACATCGGAACTTCAAGACCAATTAGTGGAATTGATTCTTCTTGTGTTTGGGCATTAAATACTGGGCAGGGTTCTCTTTAGGCGGCTGATGCTGGCAGGGAAAGAGGTACCGACCTAATTACTCTTCCGCAAGAGCAAAAAATGCCTTTTGAATGCCTCTTTGGCAAATATGTCTCATTAAGGACAAAAACCAAACACAAACCCTCTAAGAAGCAGAAATTAAGATGATAGGTAACTTGTGGCCAGGATACTTTCCCTGCCACTGTGGGAAATTAAAACAAAGTTTGGGAGTACCAGGGGATGATTTGTTTTTGTTGAGAGTCTTTCCTGTAGCCTCGGTGTTATGATGGGACCAACTTTATTTTCTTCATCATTTTGGCTCTATGTCAGGGAATACTTTGCTCCTGTCTTCCATTGTGAAGGCAGTGGGGTTTCTCCCAGTCCATCTCAGCAGGGTTTCTAACCAAGCAAATCAAGAAATTCTCCACCGGGAATTCTAATCTAATGGAAATTAAAATTCATAGTGATTTGGGCAAAGAGATGATGACTAGAAATGGGTTTAAGAGGTTTTTTTTTAAGACTAAGTCTACTTTTTAAATTTTAGCCAACTTGTCCTTTATCAGGTTTTAGAAAATATGAATGAATTTATAGCTAGTTTTATGAGACTTATAAAATCTGACTATTGGTCTACTTACACTTGAGTTTACATCTCTGTCTCTGTCTGTCTGTCTGTCTGTCTGTCTGTCTCTCTCTCTCTCTCTATATATATATATATATATATATGTGTGTGTGTGTGTGTGTGTGTGTGTGTGTGTGTGTGTGTGTACTTATATTGTTATGCCAGGATTCAAACCTTGGACTTTATGGATGCTAGTCAAGTGCCCCAGCATACTTAATTTTATTAGTACCATTAATCTTGCCTATGTATTTTCTCTAGCCTGTGACCTTCATGAATCAGGTATTCACACCTGATTTCCTAGTGTTCTGTAGGATTCTGCAGCTGTAGAACAAAGTAAAGGGGATTTATCTCATTTCTTTTATTTTCTGGTTAGCTGAAATAATTAAGAATAGGTCAATGACATTAGTATTGACTACAGAAGGTCTCTGGTGAAAGGGTAGGTTTTCCATTTCTGAATGTATATGCTTTAGTATGTTCGTTCATCACCTGACTGTGTTCACTGCAAGTCAAGTTTACTGTTCTTACCTGACCTAGGATTATAACACCCAGAGTTTATTCACTAATTCACTCCATAAAACTTTAGGATGTCTATTTTCCAGACTAACAAAATGCTCAACACCTCCACAACTAGGGACATTAAGAATTTGTTGACTTCCCTAATATTTAAATTTAGAGTGTGTTATGCTTGTTTTGGAAATAGTTGTGAGACAGAATTGTCTCTAAGAAGTGACATGCACTTAAACTTTCCAAGGAAATTAATTGCAAGTAACAAGAGATCATCTGTGACCAAAATATCAGGTTGGATTGTTCAGGTGAATATTCAAGAATGACACAAGTATCAACAGGTCAGTTTGGGTGACAGCCAGGGAGACCTGGGCCTGTTTATCAAGACCACACAGTTGTTCATAGAGCTCAACAATGGTTCCCAAATGCAGATGGATGCTTTCAACAGAATGAATTATTTCCTCACATGAAAAATTCTGATCTAACAAGAACTCTCTACAATACACTCATCAGAATGTATCCAGGCCTTCACATCACAGTCCCTTGAGGAACATTGCACAGTCAGTGGTGCTCAAAGCAGTCCTGCCATCATTGTATCATGGGAAGGGAAGTGAGAAGTAATGGAAAGTCATTCATAACCTCTCTTAAGAACAAGTATCAAGAGACCATAAGATTTTAAAGCTCAGCACATGCCTAAAGTTTAACATGCATTTCAGGGCTTCAAAGAGTTGTGTAGTTAATTATGAGAATCCCCTATCTAATGTTGATTGGAAAATAGCCAAGATGATTCACAAATATATCCTATGTATATATTTATTTAAATCACATCTAAGAAGGCAGACTATGATTCTAAGATGTCTTTTGGGCCATCAGTAGTACCTATTTCAAACTGGCCCTGAGAGTTTCAAGAAGAGTAAGAAAGAACTTTGATTTTTTTCCCTAAGTGAAAATAAGTTATGTCTTGACATTAAAACATTTGAACAAAAATCCCTTGAGTGTTTTACCAGTGTGCATCATTACTCTCCAGAACTCACTTTTAAGTAGCTTCAATTAACAGCAGTTTTATATGGGACTATATTTATATGAAAGAAATAAGTGATTCAGTTGGAAATGTCTTGCAATATTAAGGATAGTGTATAAAAATCAATTGTACCATTGTAAGCTATCCCTAATGGTATTAGCTTTGATTAAACCATTCTAGACGGAGATCCAATTGTGTTAATTCTGAATGAAGTAATTGACTGTTTTCTGTTGCCTGCTTTTTATTATCAATTTACAGATCCAAAGGCCACTAACTTTCAGTATTCTGTGTTCAACTATTTAAACCACATGCTAAGGAGGTTCACGGAATAATTTTAGTCAATGTGCCTTATATCTGAATACTTATTGTTCTGAGGGGCTTGTTAATAAATGCACCAGAAAGACATGGTTTGGGTCTTCCTATATAAAAGGATAGGGGAAACCCATAATGTATGGAAAGTGTAAAATTAGCTGAATGTCAGACTGTGAAGTAGCCGGTTTTCTTGTTTATTTTTTTGTTTTTCAAGGGCAGCTTTGAGGTTCTAGCCATAACATGCATAATGTGAACAGTAGCCACAAGAACCTGCAGAGATCACACCATGCATACTGAGAGGAGCATAGAACTCTTCTCAGAATAATTTGCCTTTTGTTGTTGTTGTTTTGGACACGTGATTTCCCAAAAAGAGTGGTAGTGTGCCTTATGTGGTAGGGTGCTGTCTGACAGTGACAGCTCTCACTGCCACACAGTCTTTTATAGAGCTCCTGTCCTTACTTTATCCTTCAGCAGACACATAAGGAGAGCAGGCATGACTGCCTAGATTTTTCAAGTTGGAAAGTACTGACAAGGGCAAGTGGGAGGAATCCTATTTACAAATGGTGGATTATAGATTGTCCAGCTTTGCCCAGAGACAGATCCCACCAGTATTCTGGTCCATTGGTTGATATTAAAGAACTTGCATTGGTTGGTGAAATGGTTCACTGGGCAATGCTTGCTGCCCTGTCTGATAAGTCTGAACCCAAGGACCAGCATGATGGTGGAAGGAGAGAACTGACTAAAACAAGTTGTCCTCTGACTTCCTCAAGTGATAAGACACACACAACAACAACCAAACAAATAAATGTAATATTTTATTATTGAAAAGAGGGGAAAAAAGAAAATAAATTCAACTTATATGTGTGAAAATTCTGGTCTTGCCTGAGTCTTTTAGAAGTCAGAAAGAGGCAGTCCATTCCAAAAATGAGATAATTTATCTTAAAGTGAGCCATTACTTTTAACTTTTAAAATGAAGTCAATTAATCATTCATTCTATAATGCTTGTTAGGCGTTGGCAGAAAAGTGAGAACAGCAAACAATACCAGAATCTACTTAATTATGAAAACAATTTATATCTTCAGAGACAGAAAGAATTGCCTCCAATAAATAGTCAGAATGGAAGACTTTTATTATTTCTTGACCATCCTTTACGTTACCTGATATGACTACTTTTTATTCAGATCCATATATACATATAGATATGTATATAGCTATAGATATAGATATAGGCATATTAAAACCCATTATATTTAAATTGAAGTAGCAATGCGTTTAATGCAGTAATTCTTTTCTTTTTCACCATTAGGTTAAATTGGGTGAAGATGCCCCCAATTCCAGTGTGGTGCATGTGTCCAATCCTGAAGCAGGTAACAATTATGCCTTGGAGAAGACCGCTGATGGGGCAGAATGCCACCTCCTTGACTTTGCCAGTGCAGAGCGCCCACTGGTGGTCAACTTTGGTTCAGCTACCTGACCACCTTTCACTAGGCAACTGCCAGCCTTCCGCCAGTTGGTGGAAGAGTTCTCATCAGTGGCCGACTTCCTGTTGGTATACATTGATGAGGCTCACCCTTCAGATGGCTGGGCAGTGCCTGGGGACTCCTCTTTGTCTTTTGAGGTGAAGAAGCACCGGAGCCAAGAGGACCGATGCGCAGCAGCCCACCAACTTCTGGAGCGTTTCTCCTTGCCGCCCCAGTGTCAAGTTGTGGCTGACCGCATGGACAATAATGCCAACGTAGCTTACGGGGTAGCTTTTGAGCGTGTGTGCATCGTGCAGAGACAAAAAATTGCTTATTTAGGGGGGAAGGGACCCTTCAGCTACAACCTCCAAGAAGTGCGGAGTTGGCTGGAGAAGAACTTCAGCAAGAGATGAATTCTAGATTAGCTGGTTTAAAGGTGTGATTGTAATAGCATTTATTATTTTTTTAAAAAAATACGTAAAAGAAGTTGAGAACTGAACTGAATCTACTATTTCAACTGAGTCCCATTGCCTCACTGAAAGACAGGGGTATACCTGTCAGTAAACAAACCTCTGAACATTTCAATACTTCCTTTTGTACACAAATGGCATCCAGGCTAAATAGCAGCCCTGTTACCTCCCACCTGGTGAACTGATCCAAGCTGGAGGGGAAGAAACTGTGATGCAGCGTGTGTTCATCCTTGCTTGCAAAAGAAGTGACTCTGCTCAATGTGTGCTTTGGGACCAGGAACAAGATTTCCCTGAATACCTAATGTTAAGGGAAGCTACTACCTATGATCTGATGAAGTGTGTTGTCTCAGCTTTAGTCATCAGGAACAAACCCAACTGGAAACTCCCCAAAACTTACTTATAATGTGATCTTGAAGCCATGGTGTGCACTTAGGACTGAGGGGTTAGCTCTTGCCATGCAATGCCTTGTGCTAGTAGTATCTGTAGCCCAGAATTTCCAAGGTGTATGTGTAGATTCCAAGAATGGGTCCCAACATGGAAGGCTAAGATGGCATCAGAAATCTGGCAGATGGAGAAAGCATTAGGTCAGGGAAAATGAGCTTAACAATCGAGGAAAGAGGTATGAGGAAGAGGAGGAAATTGCATAGTGTTTTATCTGGAAGCTGCAGGTAGTAAGAATGCTATTCAACCACGCCAGCATGGAAGCACATACACACCGGGGGAAAGCAAGGGGTTGTCTAAAAACAGCATAGGGACGATACACAAGGAAACAAGATGTGCAGTAGTACGCCTAGACTGATGGTGAATGGGAGATGGGAAAGATGAAAATGGTGAATGTGTTTTCATGTGGAGTTAACCCTTTTATATGTGAAATACTCATTTCTGTGGGTGATACTCATTGAGGGAAAATCCAGGGGGTCTGGTGCTGCTGGGTTGTTCCTGCCAAATTCCTAAAGTTACAATGTTGCACTCCCCTCCATTCTTAATCTCTGAAAAATTGTTTTCTCTGGGTGCTGAGTGAAGGGTATAGGAGCCAGGTACCCTAGCCATTCACCTGCTGCCCTCTCCTAATGTAGATGAACTCTAATGAATATGGGTTTACTCTGATTATTTATACCCATAGTTTTGAAGGCTTAGACATAGATTATCCTTGGTGTCACAGAGATTTGTTAAAGTGGTGTTTCCTCTGACATTTGAGTTTGAACTTGGGTTTTCCTTTAACTTGGGTTAACCTATTAGTTGAATTTTAGTAACTGTGTGCATGACTGAGTATATTTATGGATATACTTCTCTTAAAATGAGAGAAACACAGCTTTACCCACAAGCAATACATAAAGACCATAGCCTCCAAAAAATCAACTGATGTTGTATCATAATTAATTTTTTCAACTCAAAAGGCGTTCAGATCACTGCATAGCATATTATATTTACATGTCAAATTAATTGGTTTTTATGTCTATCCTCTCAATAATTAAATCTAAAGCTGAACTATATAGGAAAAGATAATCTTATTAAAATAGTTGTCCCAAATGAGAAAACTAGAAAGTGGGTGTATATGAAACAAAAGTGTTGTTTTTAAAGATGAGAGCAAGAAATGAGTCAGATGACTAGCCCATATTTACATAGTTAGTAAAGCAGCATTGTGGCTAATATTTTTGGAAGCATCTAAGATTGCCAGTGCTTTAAATTCAGTAAGACATAACCACAAAGAAACAAAGCAAATTTCGAAAGTGCAATGGTATCTAATGGACTGTTGTAGAATCATATTGAAGATAGACTACTTCAGACGCCTCAGATATTAAGGTCTGCAATCAAGGCATATCAATCATTCCTTGTTGAGTTTAGTCATCAAAATGGTGTTGAGATTTATGTGCCTCCCTAAAGAAGCAAAATGAAGAACTGGTTTCAGAACACTCACGTTGAGATCCATAAATGTCCCCTTTTGTTTTCATGCGCCATAGTGGAACAGAATGTCAGAGAAGTGGGTGGGGGGATGAGTTTTGGCTAATGTGATGCTAGTTGTCTGGGGAAAAGAGTGATGGAACAACTCACCCAGTTGTGCTCTATTTTTTAAGAAAGAAGGTTGTACGTGCATACAATTCGCTTTTTTGGAGGATAGGCCAATGGAGGAAGGAAGAAGAGGAAGTAAACATACAAAGACATAGTCTGACTGTCAGGGACACAAACATGTTCGCTAGAACATGGCAGAAACACTGGAAGAAAAGCTGTTGAAGGGGCCCGGGAAGAAAGTGGATAGGCAGAGCTCAGGAATCTTACACTGTGTAGAATGGGGTGGTCTCCCAGATATCATAAGCCTGTAATGATGTAACCTATTTATCTCAATGTAAACATCTATGAGTTCCCATGATGTACCTTTTATAAAAACTAAGAAGTCAGTAATCCAGGCAAGAAAATCAATGCTCAGCTACTGTGCTCAATGACACTATTAGACTGGCATTAACCATCTACCTAATATGCCTTTTATAATGTATATTCCTTTGAAGAGTTACAGTTGTATTCCTCACAAGGAAATACACACATATATATGTATGTATACTTTCGCATATATATATATATATTTTCTTAGTACATAAACATTTTCCTATATAAGATATGTTTACATAGTGATATCAGTTTAGACTTTTAAACTGGATTGGCCTGTCTATCACTATTGAAACAGTTTCTCAGAGCTTCCCATAGCATCTGCACTTCTCAAGCACTTAGTGTTTAAAAGACATCTTGAACCATCACTTTCATTTATTGGTTAGAGGAAGTAATCTGGACAATGACTTTCTTGAGTGGGACTGAATAAAGTGCCTGGCCAGCAATTGTAGACATATTTCATACAAATGCAGCGAACCTATGTTGAGGCAGACCAGTCATTGTTCTTGCTCTGTGTTGCCAAAGTGGCGGTCATTTAACTTACACGTTAACTTTATTCATGCTTCAGGTCTCTACACCCATGTCTTTACCTCGTTCATAGTTTATGTCCCTGTATTTTTGGTAATATAAGCTTCTAAGTGGTCTATTAACTTAGTTAAATTCTTCTAGTAATCAAAGACACTTGTTCTCTGATCCCACTGCCTGAGTGTATTTTACTATTTGGGTTTTGAATACAATTTATAGAACATTGTGAGGTTACAGGGCTGCCTCACACAAATTACTGGAAGAGATGCTTGCAGATCATCTTTATGCTTTTCAGAGAATTCTCAGGTGGATACAAGCTGCCCTTGGCATGCCCTGTAGCCTCCATCCACAGTAAGAGGGATTTGCTGGTGTCCAGGACCTCCTGGTATATACATCATAAGAGGATCAACCTGGACATTAGTTCCACCTGACCTCTGGCTGATGGTTTGGAAAATAAGTTTAATTAAAATCCCTTGGCCACTGCAGAGGGGTAAATTAGACTGATTTCTGTCCCAGTGAAGGATAAAGAAAGACTTAGACCAGCGCTGCAGCAATGTCATCTCTCTTAGTGGAAATTGACTCTGAGTCTTTTAATTTTAGGACCTTTATGACATAGCCCCAATCTAAAACCCAAGTATATTTAGTTAGAATCCAATTTCTGCCATTGCCTTAAACCTAGAAGCCAAACCCACTCTCTATATGGACTTCCAGAATGCACACAAGGGTCACTCGCTGCTTGATGATGGTAGTCTTGGGACTGTTGCGAATCCCCCTAGAGAAGGAGGAATCTGAGGCTGTATGAACTATGGAGCTGCTAGTGGGGAGGAATGAACCCCCTCAGGCTTGGCTTACAGACTTGGAAAAATTTGAAATGAGACTTCTTATGTTTGGAGGAAGGCTGCTGGGTGTCAGTAAATGACTTCAGGGTGAGCAAGCATCAGGCCTCTACTTCATGCCATGTGTTCTAGATAATACCAGAAACAAGGTCTCAGACTTGACAGACTCAGCTCTGTTACAAGATGAGTCTGAACCAGCAGAAAGCAAACACGTACAGATATCCAAACAAGACTTTTCCTACAAGCCAGGGCTTGCCGCCTGTCTCAGGCAACAGCACTAGGGCTCTGGGGAGTTTATTTAATATTTACTGAGACTTTAGAGACCTAGCAGATGTTTAATGAAGTCACTATTTTGGCTCAAACTGCCCTCCCCCTTCTGTCTTGAGAAAAAAATTCAAACAGGTAAACATAAAAATGAAAGAGGCCTATAGAAGGGCATGGGAAATAAATAAAATCCTCTCAAAACCATTCCAGACCATGCAACGTGGTTTGTATGTGTCAGGAGTAGGGGATGAGAAGACCTATGTACCCAGTACTTGATAACCAAAGCAATTAATTGATCTTGGGTAGGGAACATTGGCCAGTTTTGTTTAGTTTTGTATCTGTTGTCACCAGACTCCCAAACCCAGATAACCAGACACCTGAAGGGGGAAACCGAGATGTGCAGAGCTTACTGGTGTGCAAATGATAACTACTGACGAAAGAGTCACCCACTCAGTCTGTGGTTGGATGTAGTCACATGAGTCTGACTCTCACATCTCTGTCTCCCTAGCAAGGAGAATATTTGGGTCATGATGCAAAGTGTGCTGGGTCAATGTGACAAGAATGTGTGTGTGTCCATCTCTGCTTCTTGGTTGCAGAAGAGAGAAAAGCTTTGGGGATTATCAGTAGAAAGAGTGTTGTTCTATCGGTGCTGAGTGGTATGTGTGCTCTTACAACTTGTTCTTATATTTTAATAAAGTTTGAATAAAAGAATAGAGTTACTTTTTGGTTCCATTTGTTTGGTTTTAAGTAACTTTCTAGATTTTTTTCTCTGGGCAGAAACATACTCATGGTTGACAAGGGGAAGAAAATCCATCATTCTTATATTTACTCCTTGGTACTTGTGGGCAAATTAGCCCGCAATGCCAGATTATTTTAATCGAATTCTGTGTGCCAGGGTTTTCAAGGAAATCAAGATGAGCTCAAAGTAAACCTTCAGATATTTTCCATATTTATTAACAAGTTACACTCAGGATTCAGGAAAAGGGACCTGAATCTGGAGACTGTGAAGTAAACATTCACTTTGTTAGATTCGTATTCTATGCTTCCTAAGTGTAAGGAACATTCAAGAAGTTGGTTAAAGCAGCAACATGCAGACACACATACACAGTCATATAGATACACACATATATTATTCATTATGTGATCAGCAAGGCACTAATGTGACTCAGTCATTAGACCCATGTTATCACACATGTTCCAATGTGAAAGGGCATAAGGAATGAATGTCCCATGGAGGTCATGACTTTTTTCCTTTCTCAAGCAGATTACTTAAACAAAAAGTTGGTATCTCATGAGATCCTGTTCTTTCTCATGAATTTTTTACCCACAATTTCATTAATACTTATAGCACGTTATGTAATACTCTGAATTCTAGTAGAAAAAGTTTTTAAAAATCATTATTTTAAAATTGTTCGTTCATTCTCCTTCCTTTGGAGAGTCCCATGCTAGGTTCATGTGATAGGCCCATAAAGACCAGATTTTGTCAAGGACCCAATCATGGATTTGTTAAAACTTTGCAAGAAACATACACAAATTGACTAAAATTTTTTTAAAATAATTTCTATTACCTAGTAATCCAAGCCCCTGAAAATAATTGGGACAAAACTGTGCCTCACTTTTGAAAGTTTGAAAATATTTATTTTATTATTTATTTACCTGTGTGCATCACTCTGTGTATTCACACTTTTATGCAATAACCAGTGGAAGTCAGAGGAGGGCACTCAGTCGCCTGGCATTGGAGTCATAGATGCTTGTGAGGCACCTGGTCCAGGTGCTGGGAACAGAGCTTGGGTCCTGTGGAGGAACAGTAAGTGCTGGTAATCACAGAGCAGTTTCTACACACACACACACACACACACACACACACACACACACACTTTACTTTTTAATAGTTTCCTTGAGTTGGCAGTATTCAATTAGAACAACTTCTATCCCACTCAAACAACTCCCTACTGTTTCACGTAGTTTGCCTTCAAACAACAAACTACCTTTATTTTCTCTTTCCTAGCTCTAGTATTTTCACTTATTTCACTTACATGCATACATAGTTACATGCATTATTGTTGATAATTTTCTGAGCACAATTTTCTGGTACCTAAGAATAGGGAAAATGAATTTTTATTTCAGGTTTGCTGTCAAAGTTCTTAACGCAGCTTGTGACCCATATTATTTTCTCTTTCTCTGATGAATGAGTTACCTTATTTTCTTTCTATTTATTTTTTAAAATTTAAATTAGAGACATGTTGCTTCACATGTCAATCCCAGCTCCCTCTCCTTCCCCTCCTCCTACACCCTCCTACTCTCCTACTAACCCCCTCAGCTCCCTCATCCCCATTCCATTCCCCAGGGAGAGTGAGGCCCTCCATGGGGGATATCCAGAGTCTGTCATTTTGTTCAGGGCAGGGCCTAGGCCCTCCCCAAGGAGTCCAGGCTGAGAGAGCATCCCTCATTGTGGGATGGGCACCCAAAGTCCATTTGTATGCCAGGGATAAATACTGATCTACTACCCAAGGCCCCATAGATTTCCTAGGCCTCCTCACTGACACCCACATTCAGGGGGTCTGGATAAGTCCCATACTGGACTCCCAGCCATCAGTCTGGGGTTCAAGAGCTCCCCCTTGTTCAGGTCAGCTGTTTCTGTGGGTTAAACAAGCCTAGTCTTGACCCCTTTGCTCATCAGTCCTCCCTCTCTGTCACTGGGTTCCAGGAGTTCAATTCCCTCTTTCTTTTTAAAATTTATTTATTTAATTTAGAAACAAACTTATTTTACATATCAACCACAGTTCCCTCTCCCTCCCATCCTCCCAATACCCTCCAGTGATTCCCCCACCCACCATCTACTCCCTAGGGAGGGTGAGGTTTTCCATGGGGGATCATCAAAGTCTGTCACATCATTTGTGGGAAGGGCCTAGGCCCTCCTCCATGTATCTGGGTGGGGAGAGTATCCCTCCTTGGGGAATGGACTCCCAAAGTCTATTTGTGTACTAGGGATAAACACTGGTTCCACTGTCAGTGGCCCTATAGAGTGCCCAGGCCTCCTAACTGGCACCCACATTCAACGGCCTTGGTTTAGTCCAATGCTAGTTCCCCAGCTTTATGACTGGGGTCCGGTCAGGACAGGTCAGCTGTTTCTGTGGGTTTCTCCAGCAAGGTTTTGACCCCTTTGCTCATCCCTCCTCCCTCTACAGCTGGATTCCAGGAGTTCGGCTCAGTACTTAGCTGTGGGTGTCTTAAATTTTCTTATGAATGAGGTCTACTGGCCACACACCTTCTCAATTTTTATTTGAGAATGGCTTTATTTCTCTTTCAGTTTTTTGAAGGACAGTTTCAAAAGGCACACATCGGTAAGACTTTGATTGAGACCTTACAAATTTTGCCCATCTTTTAACCCTCATTAGGAAGCACTGACTAACTAGAAATTAGCTTGATTTTTGTATTCCTCTTTCCTGAGGTCATTCAGACTCTCACAACACCCCCAGCTGATTAGATGTTGTTAACCAGTTTCTCCTGAGGGTCAGACCTCTCAAAACAACCGGGTTCTTGAATGCTTCAAAATGGCTCCTTTTGTCTTCTGCTTGCCATATGCTAGAGGAATTTTTCTAATTTTCTGAGATCCAGTCCAGTTCCTGGAGTTGAAACTTACAAAGATGTGAGGCGACACCCTGACTGGGTTCTCTTGGAAATCTTATTGCAGATTTCTTCACAATGAGCCTCCCTGAAATGCATCAATTACTGCTGGGCTCTCCCTGCTCAGGAAAAGGTTCCTGCAGGTGTTCCCAGCTCATAACCTTCCCACTAGGTAAGCTGTGATGTATTTACCTTTCTGTTTCTCCAGTCTTGGGAAAGTTTTTTTCTGGGTCTATGCTCTCTTCATGGATTGAAGAGTGTTGTTGAGTTTTCAGTCTGTTAAGCTGTTTCCATGTTAGTGTGAAGTGGTGATGGACAAGTCCCATGAATTACTTGCCATCTTAATCTGGACCTGACGTTTCCAGCTTCTCACTGTCTTAGTCAAAGATTTTTTTAAAAAGTGCACACAAGTCTTCAGTTAAAGAGACAGTGCAGGATACATTGCTTGGTGCTTCTTTTCACAGGGTCAAAAGGGAGAATAGTTGGTTGCTAAGGGGCATAGTGTGGGTGAATGTCCTATTTGATTGACTTAGATTATGAAAGTCTTTCTCCACTGTGCATGTCCTTTCTCATAATACATTTGGTTTTAATCATATGGATACCCAACTATGCATAGACATAAGATGGAAATGGGCTATTTTACCTAAACATTTAAAAGAGGGCACACTGTGCTTTACTGCCTATGTACCCAAGACCATCCCAGCCAAGAGCAGCCCCGTGCCTCTATTCCTGAATAGGCTCTAGCATGTTTGAATGGAAACTAACCACAAAAAAGGAGTTTGTTATTAAAGAAGAAAGACTTACTCTATTGCTTAAGATCTATGTGTGTGTAGCTCAGTGTGGGTGAGCCTGGACTGCTAGGTGCATTATTAGAGGAGGGTGTGTGTGTATAGCTCAAGCTAAATGGAGTGCCAGGCTGCTAAGGTAGCATATGTTTGCATGCCTCATATGTGCAACTGGAAAGCTAGAAAGTCAATTTAATGGGATGATGAGAGGGGTCAGTGGGTAAATGTGCTTGATGCACAAACCTAATGGCCTGAGTTCAAGCCCAGCAAACTATGGGAAAGTGGAAAAAATAACAAAGTCCACAAAGTTGTCCTGTAAACCTCTATGTAAGTGCTCCATGACAGGTGCTCCCACACATAAGCTCCATGCCTATATACACACAATAATGGATAGAAATTTTAAGAAAATGAAGTTCTGATATTTAGCTCCATCTAGAAAGGGGATCCAAAAACATACAGAAGAAACATCTAGAAAAGAAATTTGAAAAGGAAGGGTCTGGGAGATGGCCCAGCTAGTAAAGTGCTGAGAGCACAGGCATGAAGACCTGAGTTTAGGTCTCTACACTGCTATGTAAAGTGGATCAGGGAAATATCACAAGTTTCCACAGAATTTGAGCGGGAGTAGGGGACTCAGGAATAGCTGGAGGTAGGAGCTGCGAGTAGGGGAATGATGGAAATGCTGTACTCATATATAAAATTATCAGTAATAATAATAGTAAAGATTATGAAACAACCTGGTATGGTGGTGCATATCTGAACATCAGTTCTGGTGAGGAGTGGGGTGGAGGCATCCTCATAGCTAATCAATAGTCTAGCCATCAGTGAATGCCACGCTCAGCTAGAGGCACTGTCTCTAAAAAGTAAGATGAACAACGACAAAAGAGGCCATTTGATGTTAACTTCTGTCCCAACACATACATGAAAGCACACACCCTAAACATGAGTACACACACACACACACACACATACACACACGCACACACACACACGTGCGCGCGCACGCACGTATGTCACACAAACACACTAAAGGTGTTATGATAAAGCACATAGGGAACCCTGGTGGATTCCATGGCAGGCGAGGGTGACTGACATGGGGGACAAACATGCCAGGCAGACAGAGCTTAGTGAGAAGTTTTATTAGAAAAGGAACGGGGCACAAAAAAGAAGAGGGAGACAGGAAAAGTCCTGTTTGCCCCCGGGCAGCGGGAAAGAGAGAAGCAGGAAAGAGAGAGGGAAGAGAGGAGTGGGAAAGAGAAGATAGGTGGGTAGAGGTCTTTCTTTTAAAGGGGTCATTTGCAG